TCATGCATGCAAGGCAAGCGTTCTACCACTGAGCCACCTTCCCAGCCCATGGGCAGAGTATTGGAGTGGGATTAAACAGACTGGTGACCTTGGGTCTGGGGAACTGAAGGCAATGGGGGCGCCTAGGGGACACGGGAGGGGTGGACGGGGGCCTCAACGCCACTTGCTGCTCTTGGCTGCTGAAGTGGAAAATTGTAAACAGCCAAAAGAATTTTGTTTGCCTGCATGAGAGGGGAGATGAAGCTAGCCCAGGAGTTGGGCAAGATCTCATCCTGGAAACCCAACACTCAGGCAGGGCTGCATCCCTCCGGTGCTTCCACTGCCCCCCCCCGCCATTATTTGCCTGCTTTCCGGCCAGGTCAGTCCACTAGGGAGCTACAGCATGGCCCTACAGTCCCCCTTCCCCAGGACCTTGAGATGCGTCTCCTCAAGGCACCCGGGCTGTATTCCTTTGCAGTGCAGCTTCAAGTCAAGCCCTGCCCAGTGGAGGCCCCAAGGTGTAGGAGACCCGTTCACCAGTACTTGGCCTTGCTTGGATGGACACAGTTCTGCCAGCTTGGGAAGGCTGGAGGCAGGGCACACACACACGCACACACAGACGCACACACACACACACACACACACACACACACACACCTCCCTTGAGGTTTGCTGGACCGCCCCTCCTCTCTCCTCTCCCCCCCTCCACTGTCTTTTTCCCCATCCTGCTCCTCATAATTGTCACCTGGCTGTCATTGTAGCCATTGTATGCCAGGGAGCTGAAGTACTAAGTTGGATACCCCTCCCCTATCCCTGAGCTTCTTTTGCTCAAGGCTAGCGCTCTTGAGTCACAGCGCCACTTCTGGCTTTTTCTGTATATGTGGTACTGGGGAATCGAACCCAGGGCTTCATGCATGCTAGGCGAACACTCTACTACTGAGCCACCTTCCCAGCCCCTGTCCCTCCACTCTAGCATCATCCCAGAATAGGAGTAGAGGTGACATCTGAGCAGCACATTGTCCCTCTTCCTGGGATCTAAGTTATGGAGGCACTGGTGAGGGACCTGGAGTCAACTAGAGATGCTTGCCACCATGCTGTTTCTCTGTCTTCTTTGCCTGGCCTGGCCATTGGACTTCCTGGACCCATGGCTTGAGGCCCAACAGGGAAATGGTTATTCCTTACCTTCCTTACCCTTGTGTCCATTCCACTCTGGCTAGTCACCATCCCCAGCCGGTCCAGGCTGCCTTCCTTCGCAGTCACCAGATCCACCCTGCAGCTCTTGCAAACTTTATGGCCGTGTAGGGGCGGTGGCTGGCTTGGGGGAGCTAGAGGTTACAGCCTGAGTGCTAGCCCTTAGCTTTCTTTTTTCACTCAAGACTTAGGGCACAACCACTTGAGCCACAACTCCATCCTGGCTTTTTGGTGGTTCATTGGAGAGATGAGTCTCCTAGAGAACTTTCCTGGTCCCTGCTGGCTTTAGATCATAATTCTCAGCCTCCTGAGTAGCTTGGATTACAGGCGTGTGAGCCACCAGTGCCCGGCTCTTGGTACAGCCAGGTACTCATGTTGGCTTTAGACTCCTAGATCCACCGGATCTAGAGATCTGCTGGTCAGGGAATCTGACCAGTAGGAATCTGGGGTGGGGGGAGAGTGAGCTGCAGCCTTCCCTCTCCTCGCGCCCCCCCCCCTGCCTAGTTTCTGTTGGGTCTAATGTCTGACTTCACAGAATCTCTCTACAATCTCTCCCCTTCCTGCCCTCTGCGGGGAGCCAGGCATAAAGTTCAGGGGCTGCTAGATCTGGCGTGGGAGCTGAGCAGTGCCCTGCTAGAAGCCCTGGGTCTCCTGGGCAGCCTTTCTCTCTCTCTAAAGAATGGTCTTGGTGCCAAAGGAAGTGATTGATGCCATGCTTGTGTGTGTGTGTGTGTGTGTGTGTGTGTGTGTGTGTGTGTGTGTACTAGTCGGCCTGGGTCCTATTTTTCACTCAAAGCTTGTGCTCTACCACTTAAGCCACAACTCCACTTCCTGGCTTTTGGCTGATTAATTGGAGATAAAAAGTCTCACAGATTTTCCTGCCCTGATTGGCTTTGAATCTCAGTCCTCAGATCTCAGCCTCCTGGGTAGCTAGGATGACAGGTGTGAGCCACTGGTGGCCAGCTGATATTATTATACTTTTTTTTTCCCCCCCTGGTCCTGGGGCTTGAACTCAGAGCCTAGGCACTGTCCCTGAGCCTCTCTGTGCTCAAGACTAGTGCTCTGTCACTTGAGCCACAGCCCCACTTCCAGCCTTTTCTGGGTAGTTTATTGGAAATAAGAGTCTCAGGACTTTCTTGCTCAGTCTGGCTTCGAACCGTGACCCTCAGATCTCAGCCTCCTGAGTAGCTAGGATTAAACAGGTGTGAGCCACCAGTGCCCAGCTGCTATTATATTTCTATTTGTTTGCTTGCCTGCCTAATGAGACTCATACAACTGTGCGTGTGCGCACACACACACACATACACACTTGTACATGCACGAATGTGTGGCACATGTGTACCAGACACGCACATGCCACATGGGCACACTGCATGGACGTGCACAATACCATGTGTGTGCACATGTGGCACTGTGCATGCGAAGTACAACACGTCGTGTTTGCTCTCAGACTCACACATGTGTGCTCATACATGTACATACACACTAACATATGTGACCCTCAGAACACCATCACCGGCACCCACCCTCTTGGATCCAGCCTGTGTTTCTTGTTAGGGCTCAGTCCCCAACCTACTCCCAGTCTTACCCTCCCCCCCCCACAGGCTGACAGAAAGTGTGTGTGTGTGTGTGTGTGTGTGTGTGCGCGCGCGTGCGCGTGTGTGCAGGAGGGGAGGGTACTTGGCAGGGTGACGTGATGGGGCGGGCTCCTGCCAGTGTTGGGTGACCCTGAGGGTGTGCCCCTTGTGGGTGTGTCTGTGATTGTGGCCAGGCTGGGGGCACCTCGGAAGGGAGGGCTCAGGAGGGCTCAGGAAGTGCAATGCGACCCCCCCCCCAGCCTCTTTCCCTAGAGGCTGAAATCTGATCTCTGGGGACTCTCCCCCCCCCCAGCCTCCCTCCCTCCCCTTGCCCTTGCTGCCTACTTGCTTCTCCCTTCCAGATCTCGGGGCAGAGTCCAGGGCAGCTCCAGGCTCCTCCGCACACGCCTGCTGAACCCTGAGTCCCCTGAGCTGTGGGCATGGGGCGGGCCCAGGCCGCCGCCATGATCCGGGGCCTGGCCCTGCTCTGGGCAGTGGGGCTGGTGAGTGCCGTCCCCAGCCCCCCAAGACTTCGGCTCTCCTTTCAAGGTAGGTGCACCTGGCAGGCTGGAGGGACCTAGCTTGGGGTGGGCAGGAGAGGGGCACCCCCCTTCCCTGTATAAATAAGGTCGTACTGCCTGTCACCAGAGCCCTTATTGAGTTGATTGGCATCTCCAGCCCATCTCCAGTTAACTCTTTCCTGGCCATCACCCCCCTCATTTCTGGGTCCACAGGCTCTGCATGCATTTCCCAAGAAGACCCCCCCCTCCCTCCCGTCTCCATAGCAACGGGCTCCTGTCGCATCCCCTAGCCCAGGAGTCCCAACTCCCTCAGTTGGAGCCACAAGGAAGTCAGAATTAGGGGACCCATCGGAGACCCCCCCACCTTCCCACTCCCTTTGGACAGGACGGTGGTTCTTAAGGCAGTGGATGAGCCCTGGCTAGGCAATTCCGATTGCACACCGGATGACCCAGGGAGGAAACCTCAGCCTGACTTTTGCAGAGTTGGGGTTCTAGTTGTTTCTCCTGATCTCTTGGCATCCATAAGCCTAGCCTCCCAGGGAGCTAGCCTAGAGACGCCGCTTGTCTGAACATGCTTTCCTCCACTTGCTTTCCTCTTCCTGTGGGGCGGCAGCGGGGAGAGGGGCTGTATCAGCCACCCTGCAAAGCGCCTGTGTGCAGGCCCGGCCCCTGGTAATGACTTTGCTCCCCAGAGACCTCACCAGCCCGGTGGTGCCCCCCCCCCCCCCCCCGTCTCCCTGTCCGAATGTGCAGAATATTAGAATTGATTTTTTTTTTTTTTTGCCAGTCGTGGGGCCTGAACTCTGGGCCTGGGCACTGTCCCTCAGCTCTTCAGCTC